AATAATAATAATAATAATAATAATAATAATAATAATAATAATAATAAATATTGCAAATGATAATGGTTTAACAGTGGGCAGTCAAAGTTTTCCCAATTTTACATACAGCATAACAGAATTTGGCCACATTCAGACAAAGTACTTTATACAGATCTGATAACAATAGCTACAGTATTCCCCACATATTTTATTAGGTTAAGGTGTTATAAATGGAGTCTGTGAGCCTTTATAGGAGATGCAGTATAGTATGATGTGAGCTATGGTTTCAGTGGCAATTAAACATGACTGTTCTTATTCATGTTTGGGACATAAAAGTATTTGAAAGATATTTCTGAGATAATCACAAACTTATTTTACCATTGAAAATATTTTGCTTCTCTTCCAAGTATTGGACATCCCTGAACTTCTTAGAAGCTTCTTAGATGAGAAGCAAAAACTTTTTCAAAGAAAAAACTTTTTCTGTCATTTTTTAAAATGTATGTGCAAGAAACCTCTTCATCTGCTTCTTCCATCCAGCAATTAAACTTTACTAGTTCAGAAACTTATTTTTCTTATATGTACCCATTTCATGTATTCACAACTATGTATACACTTATACTTATTATCTTGTAAACAATTGGCAAATCAAATAAATAAATAAATAAATAAATAAATAAAATGAGCATGTACCAAAATCTTGTCTTAAATGTATCTCTAATATTCCTTCCATGGGCTTGATAACTATCAATTTTAGAGCTGCCTCAAATTTTCTCTTTGAAATGTTCACATGTATTTGATATATTTTTACCAAACTTTTAGCATACAAGATATCTGCTGCTCTGTTATTGACAATCCTCTTCCCCCCACCCCTGTTTTTGTTCTTCCTTTTTAGGAAAGATTTGGTTTGCAATTGTGATCTTCCTGAGATTTATGGTGATATTTTTAGCAGCCTATCCTCTTTATCAAGATGAGCAAGAACGCTTCGTCTGCAACACACTGCAACCAGGATGCTCCAATGTATGTTATGACCTCTTTGCTCCAGTATCTCACTTTCGGTTTTGGCTGATTCAAAGTGTGTCTGCCCTCCTTCCTTACGTTGTTTTTGGTGTCTGTGTAGTACACAGTGTGGTCAGACACATTGTAAAGGCCTCTTCCTCCCCTTATTCTCAGTACAAAGAAATTAAGACTTTATCCGACTGCAAAATTACAAAGAACTTCAAAAGTCCAGCAAAAAAGGGAAAAATTGGCAGGAGAAATGAGGTGGCTGCCTTGGATTTTTCCAGGGCTTATATAGTTCATCTTATTATGAGAATATTGATAGAGGCTGGCTTTGGAACTGGTCATTACTATCTCTTTGGGTTTTTTGTTCCGAAGCGTTTCTCCTGTGACCACTTTCCTTGCACGAGTTTTGTTGATTGCTACATTTCCAGACCAACTGAAAAAACCATCATGATGCTTTTCATTTGGGCACTTGGTGGCTTCTCCTTTCTTCTTGGTCTTCTTGACCTAATCTTTGCTTTGCGGACCAATGGGGTAAGAAATCATAGAAATAAGCTTCTGTTGCAAAAGTTCAAAGTGGAAGAGGAAGGCAGCCCTGACCTGCAGCAAGATAACAATCCAGGCAATGTTCATCATGGAAGCATGACCATCCCTGATAGTGGTGTAAAATGCTTGCTTGCTTGTAAGGCTACAGAAGACTGTTCTTTTTCACCTACAATGACTCTTCAGCAGACAATTGGCACTCATCTCAATAATAACCATAATAAGCTATGTAATGAATCTGCCAATCAAGATCTGGTTTTTAATGAAGCTAAACAGTGGGAGAAGCCATCTGAGCAATCAAGACATGAGCACCAGTCCTGCTTTGTCAAAGAACCCTTGGCTTTTGAATCCCAAGAGGTGTGCCATCACAGTTTTCATTCATTTGCAAGTTATGACAAGCCCTCAGTTCATTATTCTACTCTGGAGAGAAAGACCTCTGATACTCTGTCTGTCTGTGATAGTTCTGTATACTCAAAATCCAAAAAATCAGAATGGGTATAGAAAGCCAGGAACCAATATAGTAATTGGAAAAAAAAATCTCATGGATCACAAAATTAAAAGTGTCATCATTACGCTTATATTATAATTAACTGGAATTCTTTCATTGAAATAAGAGTTTTGAAAGAGTGTACTTCAATATTAAATGAGGTTTTGGAATGGGATAAAACAGCTATTCTCAGAAACTTACAAAGATTTTTGTGACACAAGGGTCACTATTTCTGTTGTTTGATATGTATTTATCAAATGCTATAGAATTTAAGTGGTACATTTCCTCATTGTTGGATGATAAACTGCTTAAATTTGTTGTTTTAAAGGGGGAATGGAAAATAATAGGGAAAAAATTATCATGGTATGACCGGTTCCAATCATAGTCCCACCATTTATGATATTACTGTCCTATCACTATGGCTTTTGCATGAAGAAAATGGCCTAGTTTCAACCCTTGTTGAAAATACAACATTTCCTGCTGGAAATCCTGTTCTGTGTGTCCTCAACTGGTTAGAGTTAAAATGAGGAGACGAGGGTGTCTATTTATTGAATTCTGCATATATATTGTAATCCTGGGATTGTATTCCTTGTTCCATACAGAGTCTCAATTTTTAATCCAGAAAACCTATATGCTAATAGCAGGGTGAAAATTTGAAGATGATACTTCATCTTTCTCTAGAGGTACAAGAGTCTGTAAAGATCTTTAGTTCAAGTGATTTGGTACCTGAAAGAAAGCTTTTTGCAACTGTTGATTTCCAAAAGCTAATTTATCATTCCACAATGTTTACATTTTACATGACATGTTTTATTTGTGATATTCTCTACATCAGTGTTTCTCATCCTTGGCAATTTTAAGACCTCTGGAGTCCAGACATCTGAAACTTGTCAAAATTGACAATCACTGATCTAGAGGTATTGGCCTTCAACTCCAAGCCAAAAGATATAAAGCATGGGAACAACACCAGAATGTGGAAGATAGTCTAAACCTTGAAATACCATAAACCCAAAGTAAGTTCAGCCAGACATCTTAAAATCTTCAGTGCTTTATAGTATCTTCTATCTTCGACCTTGAAACAGAAATGATTCAAATGTTTGCAAAATAACAAATAAGTGCAGACTTAATTATATGGCAAAATGTATTGATCTAATTTTTTTTGTTCCCATTTCAGTTCTGCTATTGAGACATAGCTTTGGGCATTACTGATCCCAATTTAATAATGAAATATTTATTCGGGTGCTTATTGAATATCATATATATAGGGCTTTCCTCATTTGTTTCATGGTCACCAGCCAAAAGTTATGGAGAATGGAAAGTCTCTTTTTATTATTAAGTTCTTGTATGTACATATTGATGTGTTCATCTTAATATCTGGATTGGAATAGAGATAGTCCTTGACTTACATGCATTCATATAACCATTTGAAGTTACAATGGCACTGAAAAAAGTAACGTACAGACAGTCCTTGTAGTTATGAACATTATAGCATCCCTATAGTCACACGATTAAGATTCAGGCACTTGTCAACCAGCAGGTATATATGATGGTTGCAGCATCCTACTGTAATATATATGATTGCCATTTGCAAACTTTCCAGCCAGCTTCCAGCAAGCAAAGTCAATGGGGGAAGTGGATTTGCTTAATGACAGCATGATTTCCTTAATGACTATGGCAGAAAAAGTCATATAATTGGGCAGGACTCACTAAATCACTGCCTTGCTTAGCAATGGAAATTCTGGTCTCAATTGTGTTTGTAAGTTGAGGACTACTTATACACACAGATTTTATGATCCTCAGGAATGAGGCTTAAAGTGTCCTCATTTAAAAAAAGGAGTCAACCCAAAGAAGAAAATAGGATCCAAAGGCAGAATTGATTTCTATATTTTCCCATATAATTCTATGATAACCATTTGTATTCCTCTTTCAAGCAAAGATTATATACAAGTCATATATAACATACCAGAAAAAGAATTTGCAACCTTTTGACAGTATAATTTAATTCCTAACCCTAAAAACTTACTTCCAAAATGGAAAGTATTATTCAATTCTACTTTCCCAGAACAACACATAAAGTGCAAACAAAGTGTGTTTAGTGTGATAGCAAAGAAGGATTCTTTTTAACCACTTGTCTTCATTTTAAAACTGCGCTGGTCACATTTGCAGAAAGATTGGGAAAATGTTTCCCCAGGATATGTTGGTTCCTCCTTTGGAATATGCATGGTCTATATACGAGGAGGATTTTGCTTAATGGTTGAGAAGTCACTGCAAGCATGTCAGTTTAATTGCTTTTTTTCAACAGTGGCATATTTATTTCCAGAATGAAAAATTGCATTAACAATGTGATGGTTATTTGTTTAGAACTTTTTAGTTTATGCTTATATCTGTTCCCCCATCTCTTATTAATCATTAAAGTCTGAGTGACAAATACACACCAAGAAATAGTTTCTTGAAATAATTTTTGAGATATAGCTTGTCAGTGATTCTGATTTATTTGAGGGGATGAATCAGTTAGGAATCACCTTTAAAAATACTTGCATAATAATCTCACAGATTTTGCAGTTTGATAGAGAATATTTGTAGTTCAGTATTGAAACTGATGATGCTACCTAGTTTTGGGTAATGAATCATCTGCAAGAAAATAACCAAGTTCAGAGACCACAAAGGATCCCTCATTTTGAGGTTCTTACGGTACATAGAAAAAAGTAGAGTTTCTAGGTATTCAGCTTACAGTGAACACTTTTACACACACACACACACACACACACACACGACTTTCAGTGTTATAACAGTGTTGTCACGTTTCAATGTATTCATTATGAGGTCTTTGTGTGGTATGGGTGCATGTATGTGTAATTTTATTAAGGATTTTAATCACAATATTAAAAATCTGAACAGAAGGTGAAAGGTGCAAAGGAGAAGAAAAAAAAAAACCACCAAAAAATAGAAAGAAAAAAGAAAGAAAAGAAACTTGTGTGTTGGAAAAGACTTGAGAATACTATATAATGGGTAGCCAGAAAAGCAAATGAATTATTGAACAAACCAATCCATGCTTCTCACTTGAGGCACAAATGAAGAGGTTTAAACTCTTAACATTTTTGTGGGATCCTAAGTGTTTTCTGAGCTTGTTTGTTTTCTTACAAACGTTTCATTACCAAACTAAGTAATTTCATCAGTGCAATGATATTACCTAGTTTGGTAATGAAATATCTGCAAGAAAACAACTAAACTCAGAGGACACCAAGGAATCCACAATTCAATTCTGAGCTACAAATATTCTCTTCTGTCTAATATTTTTGGATGCATTACATGAAGAGGATCATAACGCTGGGAAGAAGGAAGGAAAGAGAAGAGGGCAACAAGGAGCAGGATGGATGACTTAATTACAACATCAATGAATGCACCACTGAATCCTAAAAGACTAAACTGAGGATAGATCATTATGAAGAAAGTCTATGCAGTCACTAAAGAACTGATATTGATTTGATGTTGGATAACCAAACAATCATAGATTCTCACAAATATGAATATGCAATCTTTCAGAAATATAAAAAGCTTACTTTCATTGGATTAAAAAATGATGGCTGCAACTTCCCAGAGTCATTAAGACTTGAATGAAGTAAAAATTGAATGAATGCTGAATTAATAAATAAGATGTCCTTATTTTGGTATCTCCCCAATGAATGCCCTTTCTTTATTGCAGTATAACATGGGGAATTTTGGGAGTTGATGTCCACACATCTTAAACTTTGAGTAACACTGATCTATTAGCTATGGCATATCCTTGTTAGTATCATGATAACACTGGATAGGTTCTTCAGTATATGCTAGAATGAAAATTTATATGCCACTCATTTCACTGTTGAGTGATTCTAATTAATATCAGTCAAATGGAGAAGGCTGTGAAATGCCATTAGTCTCCTTTTCTTCTATTTTAGAAGAATATATTCACTGGGAATGAAAAGAGAATGAGCAGGAAACGTAGTTTACAGGGAAAAAGTACTAAATTGCTGCAATATTTTCTCTTAAATTGTTGCTTCTCAACTTTATACCATCCTCTTTAAAAACATTTCTCACTAAACAAAAGCCGCCGTCTGTTTTTTTTGTAATGACTTGATGTCTTACATTTGGTTTTCCTTCGACTGCCACACCAAAGACATAAGACATTTGTTTACTTCTATTAACTGAAAAATAATTTCTTTTTACATTTTGTAGTCTGGACTGATTTGCTGCCAAATGTATAGTCGTTTGCAGAATCGAAAGCTACTGCTACTAAAAACTAAGCTTTTCTCTTAAATATAAAAATTGCCTGGCAGAAGAACACAGAAATTTTTCAGTTTCCATAGTTTAGATGCCAACCCAGAATATTTGTTTAATTGAATGGATAAAGTTAACGTGCAGCTCCTTCAAATTCTAAAGTGAGGTCTTTCATATTTTCTCAGTCTTATCATTCTAACTTATTCCATGCTATGGAAGTTCATGCAAAAACTATCTTTCCAAATGTTTTATTTAATTTCCTGGTCTATTGGAGTTCTAATACAGATTTATATTTCCCAAACCAAGCTATTTCTATACGTTCTATAATTTTATTTTCTTTACTTGGCCAAGCTTTAAACAGTTTCTCCTGTTTTGTTTTCACATGGTTTTTAATATATTTTTTCCTTGGTTTCCAAAAACTAAACTGGGATGCTAGAGTTCATTTGGCTTTATTCTTTGTTATAAACTTCTACATGATTATTAGGGAAATTTATAGAAATAAATACCTTAATGTTCTGTTGAGGTTTCCTTCATCCTAGGAACTGCATCCTAGAATTTTGTCAGTTTTCCTAACTCCATTAAAATTGTAACACTTTTAATATAGCAAGAACAACATTAACAATATAATTAATATTGAAGATTGGTTATTATTTATTTGAAGGAACAGGATTTTTATCTTTTACCTGTAATCATTTAATATACTTCTTACTGTCCTGATAGAGAATGACCACAAATTGCTTAAGCCATTCTAGTAACACTTTGTTAAAAATCATAATTTAAACAATGTAAGTAACATATGAATATATAAAGGCTATTTTGTGAAGTTGCTTGCTAAGTATTTTCCAAAGCCAATCATTAATTCTTTTTTAAAAGAAAATATTTATCCAGGATCACGTTTAGCAGGACCAAGAAGGGCCTTCTCTGTACTGGCACATTCCCTGTTGGTTGTCATCCCTGTGAAGATAAGATCAGCTCCACCTTGATACTCTCTTAAAAAAAACCCTGAAGACATGGTTTGCCAGTGGGCTGGTGAACTCCAAGATAATAGAGAACCCATCAAATGGTTTATTTGGGGTTTTTATTTCTATAAGCCTAATGGAATCTCCATGAGTGAGTTGGGTGGCAAGATAAAATTTCTAAATAGATAATTCATGATCCTCATCTTAATCATAATCACCTTTGGTTTTTCTATTGCTGAAGTAGTTTTATAGATCACTGCACTGTTTTGATTGTGGAAAATGTTACTGTGCAGCTATTTATATTTAGTAAATTTATTATTATATTTATACCGATCTAAAGCAATGTTAATGTCGATCATCTTTGAGTAATTCTGAATTCTGAAAAGAATGTCCTTGCTAAATTTCTGGCTTTGTGTTCCATTGCACAAGTGATAAAGAAATTGAAATGAAACAATGGCCAAAGTTCTCAAGAAAACTCTACTAATTGCTTATATCTGAATATGTTTTAAATCTGTTTTCAAAACCTCATCTGAACTGTGGAGCAGTCTTCAAAGTTATGTTCACCTCATGTCATCTTTGTGCTATTGTAAGTTCCATTTGAAGCTCACTTTACATATCACGGCTAATTTTTTATTTATTTATTTGGTTTGTCAATTACCTACAAGACAATAGGTATAAGTAAAAACATAGTTATGAATACATGGATACATATAAGAGAAATAAAAGAAACAATAGGACAGGGACAGTAGGCACATTGGTGCGCTTATACACGCCCCCTACAGACCTCTTAGGAAAGGGGTGAGGTCAATAGTAGACAGTCTAAGGTTAAAGTTTTTGGGGTTTGGGGAAGAAACCACAGAGTCAGGTAGAGTATTCCAGACATTGACCACTCTTGCTGAAGTCGTATTTCCTGCAATCAAGTTTGGTGTGATTAACCTTGAGTTTGTATCTATTGTTTGCTCTTGTATTGTTATGGTTGAAGCTGAAGTATTCATTGACAGGTAGGACATTGCAATGTATGATTTTATATACTATACTTAGATCGGACTGAAGGCGGCGTAGTTCTAGGTTTTCTAGGTCTAGAATTTCGAGTCTGGTGGCATAAGGTATTCTGCAACGAGTAGAGGAGTGGAGAACTCTTCTTGTGAAATATTTCTGGACTTTCTCAACTGTGTTAATATCAGATACGTAATGTGGGTTCCAGACTGATGAGCTGTATTCGAGTATTGGTCTAGCAAATGTTTTGTATGCTCTAGTTATTAATGTAATATTACCAGAGAAAAAAGCTACATAAGATTAAGTTAACAACTCTTAATGCCTTTTTGGCTATGTAGATACAGTGGGCTCTAGCATTTAGATCATTAGAGATGAGTACTTGATCCTTGACAGAGTTTGGATCATCAACAAGGTCTTGACTATTCAGCCTGTATTTTATTTTCTGATTATTTTTTTTGCCAATATGTAAGACAGAACATTTATTTGTTGAGATTTGATATGTGCAAAACAAATGTTTAGTATTTCATTTTCCCTTTAAAACCAGCAGGTCTGAGTCTTCCATTGATGGCTTAAGTACAAGCCAGAGTAGGAAGTGAGAATCTTAGAGAATTAAGATGAATTTGATAGCGAAAAAAAAGAAAAAGCCAAAGCATTTGTAGTGCATAAAGAATTTTCAAACAAAACTAGCTTATTCCAAAGCCTTCTAATTTTTTTTATTACATAATAAGTTAAACATTAAGAATTCTACATAATGCAATTTCATGAGCAGAAAAATGAAGGTTTTAGCATCTTCTTTACTGTGAAAAAGCAGCTCAGTTATTCTAAAAACCTATCTTTCCTTATGCGTCCTAGGTCTCATCTATACAGCCTTCTTGCTCCATTTTGAGACTACTTGTCCTTGAAGTGATGACCTCATAATGGAACCACCATCATTTTGCTGGTCTACCAATGAGACAAACTCTTTGAACCAGCGAAAAGTTGGAGTTTTCCGCAGATGAGCAGGAGAAGAGACCGATTTCATTTAACTTGGAGGAAAAAATCCTCAAAGGCTTAGCAACCTGGTGGATAATTGACTTACTTTATGTCATGGGTGTCAAACGTCATCACAGTAGTGTCATGTGACGTATTGGGACATTTTCCCCTTCGCTAAACCGGGCGTGCGCATGGCCAGCACGTGATGCATTTGGCCTGCGGGCTGGAAGTGTGACAGCCCTGCTCTATGTTCTGCAGATTGCTGTGCTCCATGCCCCTATAGCTATTTACTCCTTTGTTGTATGTGTATGCTTTACTCAAGAGAATATCAACCTTGTGAAAAATCAAATGCAGATCTTCCATGAGGTTGGTTTTCCCATCTCTATCCAAATTGTAAAGAAATAAAATTTGGTGGAATTGGCACCAAGCATAGGTGCTTGCCTAGGGCCCCTTCAGTTGAAAGAAAGCATACAGAGGAGTCTTTCTTGATGAATCCTTAGTTATTTTCTAAACATAGGCAATGACCAAGAAATGAACACTATACAATCTGCCTGATTGGAACCCTTTCTTTGCCTGTTGCATGATGCTATATAAGTAAATTTATGGGTAATAAAGAAGTTATGGAATTCCCAGTTATTGATCTGAAAGACAGATCCTGTTAAAAAGGAATTATGAATGGGATATTCATGCAATGATGATCTTGAGAAAGAACATTTTAATTTCCCTGAGTGCGTCAGAGTAGCCTTCACCAACAAGGTGGCCACATCTGTTAGACGTCAGTTCATGGAAGCGATAGGAGTAGAAGATTAATATTGTTGGAGGACATCAAGTAGATGCAGGCTGCCCAAGAGAGGTCATGTTGGTGTCCTTGGAACAATGTAAAAATTAACAAGGCAGGGAAAGTGTCAAAGCAGGGCTTCTGAAATCACTCATACCATTTCCCTTATATTATGGGCACAAATACCTCACTGAGTATTTATGTATATATGTGCATTAGGTAACATAGGATTACTCTTCTATAGATTGTATTACCAGAAGAAAGAAGAGAGTTTAGAACAAAACCATAAGTAACATTCTGAGCCACTTCTCTATAAAGATATATTGGGGAAAAGTTTCCTGGATTTTATCCTTCTGCTGCCTCAGCTAGATCCATACCATTTTCAAACTAGATCTTTCTCATTTGGATTAATTATTGGACTTTTTCTCAGCACACACAGACAACAAATTGTTCCTGTCATGTCTAGTTTTCAGATAGTCATTACATTGATGGACATATATCAGGATAAATATTAGAAAAAGCCCATTAATGAGCCCTCTTAGTTGAACCAGGCAGGATGCACACTAAAATGACAATTCATAAGCCAACATTGTTGCATTTGCTATAGGTGAAAAACACATTATTTCCTAGAAGAAATATGTTTCTGAAAATCTGCATTTCTGAGCCCCTGCATGTTCCTAAAGGATATTCACATGGGAGATATATTCCTAAAAAAACATGTCAGAAGGCACCCCATCTTTGTAACCTCCACATGCAGAATTTGCTAAGATGTGAGTCAATTAAAAAAGAAAATTCTGCACAAGCAGAGACACACACTTTGGGATGGATGCAGAGGAAGAGAAGACCTTTAGATCTCATGTTGCTCCTCTGTCTCATGTCTTTCTCTGGATAAAAGCTATGTGCAAATTGGCGTTTGGACAAGGAGCGACCCAAATGATCTACATTGGAAATAAAGTTTTCCACCAAATATCTAACCTTGACTTCATTGCCATTCATTTGTTTTCTCTTGTTCTTCTGTTGCTCTTATGCTATTGATGGAAAGGTACAGTCTTAATGTTTTGTTACTGAGCTATAGAATGGAGCTCTTGGAGAAAGCTTGAGTGGAAAAAAAATGCTTGCTGGGGGGAAAAAAGTGTATAATTCTCTTTCTTTGGCAAGGTGCCTCCCCTATATCAAATTGGATCACTTCGAAATAATGATTATCAGTGGTTTAATAAAATGTGTTCATACACAGCGGGGTTTTTTTCTAGATACAACTGATAACTGTGACAGATGTTTCCTTGCATGGTGGGAGGAGACTATTGGCTCTCACTGTTTTTTAGGCTGGACAATTTGTTGCTGAGCTTATTCCTCTGAAAGAGAGAAAAGGAGCAAGAGCTACCAGAAAGAGGCTCATCCTGAAAAGTAAAAGGTGAGCAGATAGACAAACATAAAAGCATCTCTGGTTGACTAATTGTATAACAGTTTGGATGTTTACTTAGGAAGAGAAATTTATCCTAGTAAGTAATATGACTTCTAAAAGTCTAGCTTTTATTTTGTTCTCCAATTTCATCTCTTATTTTGTTTTTGTTTTGGCAGAAGTTTAAGTAAGTATATGCCTGAAATGTTGTTTACTTGCTTTTCAGATTTTAATAGATTCTGCTCCCTGTAAGGAAGAGTTATATCTCCCAAATAAGTCTCATTTCTCAGCCAATTTTGCTTACTTTATTTCATTAAACGCCAGCTTTAGAATATTATTTTTAATATTTCTTTTCCTCTTGTCATTTAGATTGCTGCATTTCATTCTTCCTATAGAAAGAAGTGCTCGGAGAAATGACTTCAACTATGAAATACTGGAACGCATTTAGCTTTTTTGTCATTGTGGTCAATTATAATGTGACCCTTGTAGGTAAGTATTTAGAAATTTGCATTTGGGTTTTAATTGTTTTCATTTTGGGAAACTTCATTCAACGTTGTGGGAAGGGAGCTGGTTTCAGAACCAGGCGATCACCTGAAATGAAATGTACACGAAGAAAGTGAATCAGAATTTGCACACATTTTCCCAAAATTGGAATCATATATAACTGGTGTGGAAGTGAAGTGGCAAAAAGTTTTGAGCCAAACTTTTATAGCGAAAGAAAACGAGTGAATTATTGTCTTGCACGACAACCTAATATTATTCTGTTAAGTAATAATTAGACATAAATACAAAAGAATATGATCATTATGCTTCCTAAGGTACTTAATCATCAATACTTTTTTTCCTGAAATAGTATATAATTAATAGATTTAGTTTTGGCAGGAGCAATGGAAGAAAAAAATTGGAAGATTCATGCAAAAAGAGGACACATCCATCTTTGTGTTGTTGTCCAGCAGGGATAGCCTTAAAATCAAGCACTGTCTAGCCATCTTAAAAAATGAAACTGTTTTCACAAAATCAGTCACTGAAATGTTCAGGTATTGCAGCCTTATATATTACCTGCTTTTTTCTTTCCCTTGTCTATTGGCAGACTCAATAGTTTAGATTTACATTATTTAACTTATTTTCCAATTTGATCCTTTTTAAATCTATGATCACTGTAACGGATAGATCACATCAGTCATATGATTTATGGCAAAACTCAAAAAGTACTTTGTCAATACTATGTTATACTCAGCATTTATTCCTGAAAATTAAGATTTGCTGGAAGAATACTCAGATTGAAAAAAAAGAAACTTTCTAATACTGGAAAAAGTAATTTTATTTACATGTAAGCCTAAGCACATTACATGATTTTTCAGTTTTTCTCTATGACTTTTGCCACAAATGCTAAGAAAGATAAACAATTAGTGTGTCCTATTTTTACTCCATTTGGGCTCCTTTCCCATATTCTGTGCTTGTTCAGATATTGGTGCGAAAGAGAGATTTGCCCTAATGAGATTACAATATACAATATAATTGATACTGAAGAAAAAGAGGGAGAAGCTTGTATTTTATGTTCCTATGGGATACAATGAAAACATATAAAATATGCATAATGGCCATTGAGTACATAGCTTCTTTTGAATTGGGCTTGATTCCTGGCAACTTTGTAAACACATCCATGGAAAACAGAAGGAATCTATTCTTCTGATATTTATCTGTTTACTACCCAGTCTAGTCTATAAACTTAGAATTTTCTTTGTGTTTCCCATCCAAGTACAAACCCAGTGTAACCCTGCTTAGCTTCTGAGCCGAAAAGATCTGCCAAGCTGGACCCTGGGTATAATTGTTGTCCTTCTTTGATACAAAATTTAAAAGCAGGGCATTCTGTGGAATGAATTAATGAAAAATTTTGAAAAGATGGACGGGAATACTTGTTACTCAATGCATGTAACTGATGGGAACTGACTAGTACAAAATGTATCCAAAATCTGTGTGGTATATAAATAAATATATTAAGATATGAGATATAAATAGGCAAGGACAACCAGGTTTATAAATGACTTGAAAACCAAATCCTGTAAAAAAAAAAAAGGAAGCTGGTTGAATGTGTTCAGTTAGAAAACAGGATAGTAAGTGAACATATAATATGGCAATTTTTGAAGATTAACCGAAAAGACATTTACATCCTATTACTCTGATAAACAGGACTGGAACACTGGGTGAAAATTGCAATGAATTTTGAGTGCAGATAAATGTTAAAAGAAATTCCCTAACAATGTAAGCTGTATTTTCTTGGTGGCATTTGAAGCTAGGCAGTTATTTCTCATATTAGATCCATCAGCTAACATGAAGAACTCCACAAGCAGTTCAGCACACTGGCTATTTTACTGAAAAGGTTTGAAAAGGGATTAGATGTATGCATTGAAGATCAAGTTATTTATTGTAATAATTTATGCACCTTCCATTTTATAGATGTGTATTTCCAAGTGGGCCAAAATATATAATGTTACGCTGTGAAAAAGAGATTCATTTTTATGAGCATCCTCTAACTGAAATTTGACTATTTTTACAGCTTACCAATGCAATTGATAAGCAGTGTATGTAATCCTTACGTGCATAGGATTAAAATATGATTACTATTAGAAATTATTTTCAACCCGGCTAGTCAATGTCCGGAGTTTTGTGATTGGTTGGACTTTTTTATTGGCCTCATCTTGCTCTTCTTTCTCTCCAGGAAAGATTTGGTTAATCTACATGATCCTGATGAGACTGATGGTGATCCTGTTTGGGGCTTACCCTGTCTATGATGATGAATTGACAGGTCTGGTCTGCAGCACTGAAGAGCCAGGATGTTCAAGCGTGTGCTATGAAGCTTTTATTACTGTCTCTCAAGTTCGCTTCTGGTTCTTTGAGTTTGTGTCTGTCATGATTCCTATGGCCGCATTTGTTATGTGTATCTTGCATAGTGTGGTCAAGCAAGTGGTGAAGATCTATTCTTTCCCTTGCACTTATTGCAAACAGACCAAAATATCCACTATCTTCAGAGGTGCAGAAACCATCTTCAATGATGCAGAAAAGAGCAGAATCACTTGCACGGCCCATGAATTGTCGATCCCTGACTTCTCACGGGCCTATGCAATTCAGCTCTTTGTGAGGCTGATGATAGAAGTTAGTTTCAGAATTGGCAGCTATTGTTTGTTTGGTTTCTTTGTTCAGAAATTTTACAGTTGTGCCGAGGAACCTTGCCCAGGTAAAATAAACTGCTTTATCCCCAGGGCAACTGAAAAATCTGCCATGATTATCTTACTGTGGATTGTCAGTGGTTTCTCCTTAACTCTTGGCCTGGTTGACCTGTTTGTGGCTATCAAAGATTGCAGGAATAAGCGGTCTGGAGCCAGCACAGCCGAGTTATTCAGGAACCGCCTGTGCCAAGAACGGAGACCAAGCCGAGATTTGTTCAGCCTGAGAAACGTCGTCATTGCTGAGGATTGTACCACTCTCCCGAAGAAAACCTACAAGAAGGAACGGCACCCTGCAAAAGGTCTCAGCTGTTAAAATCCCAAATCTGCATTGAGCTGAGAAAACCATGCATGTATTATCCTTTCATTTACAAACCACATAACTTTTTGCAGCATTTAACTCTTGCATATTTACAGAGGCTCATTATTATATACATAAAAAAGGGAGCTGGGTGACCATAATCCTTCCCTCTCTTAGATAGTGTTCTTCAACCTAGGACCCTTAAAGAGGTGTAAACTTCACATTTTCCCGGCCAGCCATTCTTCCCCTTCAGACTTTTTTTTTTTTTTTTTAAGAAAGAAGATTGCCCCATCCAGTATAGGCAATTGATTTTTTTGAAAAAGCTCACAAGGGCGAAGTAAATAGTGAAAGTCTTGACTTTTGAAACCAACACCTTCCCTTGGAGCACATATATAAACTTTTACTTATATAGGATCCAGAATAAGATAGAATAAATCAAAAACTTAATGATCAAACAGATGCAACGTTTTAAAGAAACATTTGTTGCCACAGAACAATGGGATAAAAGTATGGCCTTGTCTGTAAGATATACATCAAGTTATAACTTAAAATAGGTACAACATTTCCTACCGATGGTATATAGTTCCATCAATAATATTTAAGATAAACAGTTCATAAGTAATAAATTTTGGAACTGCCATGAAACAGGAGGACTGTTTTTAAAAGAGATGTAAAAATCCCGCAATGTATTGGAAAGATATATAGTACAATGCAAAAAAAATTGGAATTTAATTTGAAATGAAACCACAACTCTTCTTACTAGCTATAATCTCATGAAAAAATTAGAAAATAAATTTTGCTCAACATTGGAAGGAATATATAATTCTGACCATATCTCCAAATTTGGAGAACATGCAGCGATGGTGAGTTAACATAAGGAAGTTTAAGCAAATTTAAGCAAGATCAGTTGGCAGACATACAATATAATATGCTGTGTGGCAAATACTATCACGGTCTGCCATCTAAAATCAAGGATTAGACACATTAGCAGATCTACAAAAGAGGGAAATTAGAAACCCTTTAGTTCTTTTTCTTTTAATTTCCCCTTTTAAAGATTTTTTTATTTTAATTCTTATATTAATTTTGCTTATCATATTATATTTTAACATGCACCTATATAAATGTCTGCGTGCATCTATATCTATACATATAGTTTGGAACCTTTAACACACAACAAATAGTTTGATTTAACCTACAGACAGATTAAGTTGCTTTTGATTATCACTTCTTTTTTCTTTTATTAACATGCACACATATATGTATGAATGTGTGGATGTTTATATCTACATCTATATCTTCATACAAAACATTAGAATATACACTTAACACTCAGCTCAGGTTTGAAATTTTTATTTCAGAACAAATACTGTGATGCAACCTGAAGACAGATTAAATTGCTTTTGCTTATCATACTTTTGTTTTTATTAACATGCACGTACCTATGCATGCATGTATCTCTATACCCATATCACATATAAAACATTACAATAGTGAAGTCAATACTAAGCAACTAGCTCAAGGTTTTATTACCCAATAAATACTCTGGTAGGGTTGTTTTTATTATTGTTGTTATACTCCTTGTAACATCAGTATCATAAATTGTAATCTCTACACTATACAACTACTTTATTCTTTTTATTATCTCTAATGCTCAAAGTTATCTAAACAATAAAACATCATTAATATCAATTAATCCTGTACTAATGTCATTGTATCAAGTCAAATAACATTTACATCCAAAAAAATAATAAAACTTGCAAAATTATTTGGAGCGTGTCTCTCTCTCTCTCTACGGGAAAACGAAAAAGGGAGTTGGGTGAGAATAGTGACCAAGGAGTCTTCCTCAAGGATACTTACGGCATTATTTGTCAGCACCTTCAGATGCTTTGTTTAAGAAGATTTGCCTACCCAGTAGAGGCCCCTGATTTTTGGAAAAGCTCACGAGGGAGGAAAGGTGAATAAGGGAAGTCTTGGCTTTCCATGGGCGACGAAAAGAAAAAGTTTAGTTGAGGAGCCAAATTGCATCTATCATGCTCAAGCTGTAATTGTGATAGAGGTCCAAATGTTTAGACCTCTAAATCAGACAAAAGCGTTCACCGCAGGTATCTTCAAGCAATTCTATCACGGGGAGAAAATCAGCATTTGAGCGGAAATGTAACAAGGACATAACAAATGACTTTTGACATACACATCTATTCCTGGAGAGATTTGCAGAAGTTGGTTTTGTGCACGTCTGGGCTAGTAAAAATTGAACAGGAGTTTCTGAGCATCATGATTTACAAACACTAGTCGAAAACTCATAAAAATATTGGTCAGGTGAATTATATAGAATTAATTATAAGTCCATATTTATTTATTTATTTATTTGATTTGCCAATTGTTTACAAGATAATAAGTATAAGCGTATATAGTTGTGAATACATGAAATGGGTACATATAAGAAAAATAAAAGAATAAGAGAAACAATAGGACAGGGACGGTAGGCACGTTGGTGCGCTTATGCACGCCCCCTGCGCTTATACGTTGTGTGAGAGTTTAACCATTGGCAAAATAGTTATTTTTAAAAGGGGAAATGATATTCCTTCATTTGCATTGATTAAATTGTTAAAATACGTGCACATATGAGATGTGGAATATAAATATTTCAAACATATCTCAATCTTGGGGGCAAAAAAAACTATTTTCCCACCACATTTTTCAACTTTAGAAGCTAAATGTTTCTGGGTCTCCAAGAATGACCAGGAAAATAAATGTGTGATTCAGCTGAACACCATAAGAGATGTGAAAAGGAACTCAGTAGAATTCTCGGTCGAGTTTTAAATAATGAACAACTTAATGATTTACTGAACCATGTTCCAATATTCTGCATGCTATTTAGTATGGCTTTATAAATGGAGTACTTAATATTTCAACCTAATTTAAACCAAATCAATATCCTTTACTTCTTCAGTCAACCCTGTGCAATATGTTCCTTCTCATCTCCATCTCTCATACTCTTCGTTTCAGTTCAGTAAACCTGGGTCCTATTTCATACCGCTACTGAAAGTTTGGTTTTGAGAAATGCTGCTCTAGAGGAATCAGCTGATTGAAAAATTGCAGATCCAGGATGGCAGCAGTGTGAGAAATAGTTCAGAATTAACTAAAAGTCAAACACCAGCCTTTTAGTGTCAATATGAAATGGAATAAGACTCAGCAATGAGTTCCCATAATAAAATTTACCAAAGCCATCACAACCCACAGCCCTCTCAGCATGTCAGAAGATTTCGCAGCCTACATTGCTTCCTTAATATGGTCTGGAAACTTCACAGTGCCTCAGTTTTCAGCTATCTGTCCTTTAAATTTTTAATGGCCATGAACACTGAACTATGTACTGGATACTACTAGATATTGACACATCTAAGCAGAACACAGGCATATTTGAGGAAGGGAATAATCAAAACAGATCCTGTGCGATTGCAGCCGTGTCCTTTTGGATGGAGAGATGGGTTCTGATCATATACATACATATGCCTTTTGGTTAGAAGGTCATAGCTGTCTTTTCATACACACACCAGTGGTGGTATTTTACCGGTTTGGCCCGGTTCTGGAGAGCTGGTAGCAGTGATGAGCAGCGGTGACCGAACCGGTTCTCTCCACCGCTCTGCTGTTGGGCCCACCCGCCTGCGCGGGCTTCCATACTCACCTTTATCCACTGAATTTGAAGTGCAGCTGCTTTGCGTGACACATAATAGTGCCAAGCGGCAGCTGCTGAAGTGACCGGGATCGTTCAGGCTTGCAGGAGGCAAGTTGGAACACCTCTGCGCTTGCGCAAAGTGTGCGTTCAGCACACGCGCCCACCAAACCACACCCACTGAACCGGTGGCAAAAATATTTGAATCCCACCACTGACACCCACCCACATGCACGCATACACACATATACACACACAAAACACACACACAGGATATTAATGAACGTCAGCATTTTATATGTTTGGCCCCAACAGTTCAGTGTTTGCATTTTCCTGTTTTGCTGAAAACTGGAGTGATTCAGTCAACAATTGAGGCAAGAAAGGCTGTAAAATAGGGCAAAACTTATTTAATAACTGCCTCCTCGCTTAGTAACAGTAATTTTGGACTTAATTGTGCTCTTAAGTCAAGTACCTACACAGTGTACAGGCTTTGGTTAAGGATCACGGCTATCTTCTCTCTATTTATTCAACAACAGCCTTGTTTAGCAACATTAATTTTAGGAGGAGATCGCAATGGACTTCATAGTGGAGTTGCCGAAAAGTGGGAGAGAAACTCCAATTGTGCTCATATGTCAAGGAGTTCCTCTACAGAATGTACATGGGTTTTGGTTAGATGGTCACAGCTCTCTCTCTCTCTCTCTCTCTCTCTCTCTCTCTCTCTCTCTCTCTCTCTCTCTCTCTCTCTCTCTCTCTCTCTCTCTCTCTCTCTCCATTCCCTCCCTCCATTCCTCCCTCTCTTTCACACACACACAGGATATTAATGAACTTCAGTATTTTATATGCCTGGCCCTTCAGTTGTTCAGTGTTTGCATTTTTCTGTTTTGCTGAACAAGAGAAAAAAAATACAGCAAGGAAAAGTTAGAGTGGAAGAGCACATTATATACAATCATACAATAAGAGAGTTGGGAGGGACCTTGGAGAGACCTCGGAGGTCTTCTAGTCCAACCTGCTGTTCAAGCAGAAGATCCTATATCATTCTGGACAAGTGGATGTCCAGACTCTTACTGACAAGCTCCAGTAAAGGAACATACATTTCTTCCAGTGGTAAGCCATTCCATTTATTAACTGTTCTCACTATCAAGAAATTTCTCCATAATTCTAGGCTGGATCTGTCCTTAATAAGCTTCCATCTGTTTGTTCTTGTCCTGTCCTAAGGTGCGTTGGAAAATAGCTGCCCCCCCCCCCCCCCCCCCCCGGTGATGGTCCCTCAATTGCTGAAAGCCTGCTATTGTATCATTTTATTTATTTATTTTGTTGAAAGCTTACAATACAACAGAAGTAAGAA